CATTCTCCATACAAGCTCTTTGCTGGGTTGCTCTACCGAAGTTCCCTACCAGGTCCCACAGCTATAGCTTCCTGTTCTGTTCTTGCCTTCCTTTGCGTCAAAATGCCATGCAGCTCACAGATCGTTGCTTAAATTTGTGCATTGCACTATAACCTTCTCTTTTGGACTTCTGTATATTCAGAGAGAAAAGAAGGAAGTAGGGGGTAGAGATTATGGGCTAGACAACAAGGTGAGGAAATTCATCTTAAGTTTTCATTTTGTTTGCTTTGACTCAAGTACTTTATTTCTCCTCATTCCATTTTCCTCACTCCTGCAGGTAGCTATGCCACAATTTCTTAGAAATATTTCTTAGAAATAGCTTCGTGAGAAGAGGAGGTTCGTAATTGGAGAAAAAATTATTCAGCAAGATTATTAATTGTGCTGTTGCTTCTGGTCCTTCCTTGCATCATTTCCTTGCTGCTCAAAAGCAGTGTACTGCCAGAAGATGCAGACTGTAGATGAGGTTGTTTATAAAATTCTCATGTATCCTAGGATGGACTGTCACTTGTGCTGTAGTAGACCGTCTTCTAATCAGGTTGGATAAGTGAGTGGTGTGTAGCTAAGATGGATGTGGCCTGGCCAGGTGCACATACATAGGTAACCTTCCTTTTCTGCTGGAAAGCATGCCAGCAGAAGGAAGGAAACCTGTTTTCTAAGAATGCCACAGGACCTTTTGAGAGATCCAGGAAGAGAACAAAAAGCTAGAATTATCTGTTGAAGGAAAAAGTCTGCTTTGTTTCTCCCTACAGTTCTGTTGTCTCAAGTTCCTGCAAGAGAAAAGAAGGATCCTGTGACCACTGCCCATGGGGATGGACGTTTTCTGGGGTACAGATTACAGAGCTGTTATGTGGGGAAGGCTAGGTCAACAACATGGCTGCATAATCTGGATTATTTCTGTTTATTCTCTCTAACTCTTGGAGGCATTGGTTGTTTTGCCCTGCTCTTGCAGACCCTCTCTTCTGCAACACAGAGTAGTAGTTCAATGGTACTGACTTGGCTAAGGAAAAGCAGAAGTCTTGACTTCTTATGTGATGCTTCCTCTTCCTTGTAGAATCTCCGAAGAGATTTCTCCCCTTCTTCATTTTTCTCACCTCCCCAGTCTGAGACATGGATGTTTGAATCCTCCTCCACCCATTTCTAATAATAGACCAGCATATTTAAATATAGTCATGCTTCGTCTCGAGCTATGAGTAGGCAGTTTTTCTGACATAAATTTATATTCAGTTCAAAACCTGTCTTTGAATGCAAATCCAACAACATTGATAGAGGAAAGGTTTCTGGACAATACTGTAGCTAAAATGCCCTCTATCACATGGATGAAGGGATTCCCATCCACCTTTTGTTGACTTCTGCAGAGAGGTGCTCAGTTCTGAAATACTTTGCTTAGCTTGAGGTTATTCAGGTTATTTTTCTCAATGTGTCTGGTACAAAGCCTAAACCCTATTAAATCTCCCCCCCCTGCCCCAGGCACTGTTAGGTGAAATGAAGGAAGTGCTGATACTATGAAAATCCCCTAATAATTTACAGGAAAAACTGTTCCCACTCGACTATGGTCCTGCTGTTTAGATATGTTTTTTAGACTGCAAGGAGCCTTGGAAGCAAGTGCGACCAGGCTGTGTTGCTATGTTGTTTATTCAAATTTGAGCATGTCTAGCACATATGCCTTGTTAGTTTGGTCTCAGTCCCATTGAAGTTACAGGATTCTTTCAATCAACTTCTGTGGGAGTTAGAGCAAGCTGATTGCAGGAACATGTTTTACAAAGGACTATATCATTTTGTGTGCCTTTAGAAGTGTTATAGGGTATCAGACACTGTAAAAATGCCATAGTTTTGTATAATACAACTAAGAAGAGTGAGCCTACACAAGACTGTATATGAAAAGAAGAAAGGAGAGTTAAAATACATAAGGAGACACAGCATGTTTCTAGTGTGGGGTGACCATGGTTGCTGTCATAAAATGTAATTGAAATGTATCCTAGACAAAACAAAACCAAAAAAAAAAAAAAAAGGAAAAAAGACATTTCTTGAACTAAGTGTTAACATGGCATGTTATCATTCAAGCTATCACTTCGGTATGATATTCAGGTTGATGCTGGGGAGAGCTGCAAGTAGTGGCAGCTACTTTTTTGGTATGAAGATTTACCCCCTCTGAGTTATCACCTGTGCAGTTAATATGGGAAACCAATAAGCATTGTTAGTCCAGTAGTAAAAGGTTATGAGCACAGTAGCCTCTGATGAATAAACTCTGGATCTATGGTAAGACATAACTGAAAAGATAGAAAATATTATTGGGGAAGAAAAATGCTTTTCCAAGCATATCCAGCTTTCCAAGCTGAGCAAAACATTTTTAAGATGGGCAAAGCAAGGGGAGAAAGCTGTCCCTCTGAGTATGAATACTTGCGTGCACTACTTCCTCAAAGAAATGCTGTGACAAGAGGAAATGACCTTTGGAGATTTCTGAATCTATTTCTTGGCGAAATAGTTTCTCCACAAAATCTTTTATTTTCTTGCGTGGAAATCTTATTGTTCTGCACTGTCTGCAAAGACTGAGGAGTTTCATCCATTGCTGATTATTTTTACTTATTTGTTGACTGTTGCAATCACAATTATGGTGGAGATGAAGGTTATTACACTTAAAACTCTAGTTTCGGGGGCATATGCATTTCCAGTGAAACTGTCTTTTTATTCTTAAAAATATTCTTCTCAAGAATTTTTATTCTTCATCAAAAGAGGTATTTTTTTTCCTCCCTCCCATCCTTGTAATTCCTTTGTTTTGGGCTCTCTCCACTCCTGGGGTGAGGAAGGAGCCTTTAAGATGGATATAGGAGAAGATTCTGTGGACTTCTGGGAATTAAGTTTAAGCTCTAGTTGTATATTAGTCAATAGGCCAAATTATTAGGCCAAGTACAGTCTTTAGAACTGGAAAGGCCGTATCGTGAGCTTTAAGCCATGACAGCCCTCAATACCTACAAAGTCCAAGGTGATGGTGTGAACGGGTACTGCATGATCTGTACCTGTTATTGGGCCTCTGTCCTCTTCATCTGCTCTTATACTTGTATGATTGGATCAACAGTGTTGACCTACAAACCCAGTATAAGTTGCACGCACCTACTTAGCACCTCAGCAGCAAATGCAGAGCTGACCCTCTTAGCAGTTCTGGGAAGTGGGAATGATGCAAGCGTTTGCTGTGACACCTGCCCCTTGGCTGGCTGACCTGATCTGGGTTACCAGGTTAGTCAGCGATGATGGAGCCTGAGCGAGTGAAGCAACGAGGAGACAGGCGGCACCAGCTGGCTGCCCTCTCCGCCGTGCTGAGATGCAAACCGCACTGTGACTGCTCCCAGCCAGGTGGGAAGTGGCAGCCATCGCTGCCATCGACAAAACTAAGTGCGTGCTATTGCTTACTTGCAACATCTTCTTCCAAGGTCAACTCTTCACCTACTCAGGATTAGAATGGACGCAACTAGGTCATTCTGTTCACTCTATTTATTTATGTCTATTTATTAGCATGCGTGTGTTTTAATGTGAATGTTTCAAAAGAATTCCCTGGCTAATGTGGTGTTTTCCTTCATGTGATGCTTGTTTTCAGTGTCCTTTGATAGACTTGGAAAAAATAAAGCAATTTTTTTGTCCTTTTAAGGAAATTATACCTTATACCTATATCTATTTGCACTGCAGGTCAACTGCATGATGTCATTAAAACAAATAGAAAGGTGTTTTTCCTCTGAACTTCTGTTAGTTAAAATTTTCAGGCAGATGGATGAGTTGTTCCAACATGAGGGATCTTTGCCTTCCTTTCCACAGATGTTTTTGTTTCTTGACAGCTTTGGACTGCATCTTGCAAATTTATTTCCATAAATAAAAAAAAGTTAATGATGAGGCTCAGCTTTTATTTTCTGACCAGAAAAACACTGCTTTTCACCCTCTGCTTCTGCTTCCTTTTAGTAAAGGAAAATATTTTCCTGTTAATTTAAATAGCATGTGGAGACAAAATGGAGTTTAGAAGTCTGTGGCCACAGTAAGTGAGTTTAAAAGTCTGTGGCCACAGTAAGTATCTGTGTGTTAGACACAGTAACTCAGTTCCAGAACATCATCCCCAAGACTTTGAAGAAAAGCAACTGTCTGGGTGAAATAATTGTTAGCTGCTTCATGCAAGATTTTTTTTTTTTCTCTTGTGGTGTGGTTTACATTAGGATATTAATTACTTGTTAATAATGCTGCTATGTTGTTTATTGATGTTTTATCAATCCTTTTAAAATTCACCAGTAGTGCATGAGGAAAGCACTGGGCAAGCATTAGCATGGGCACTGCCTTGTCTTGTCCCAGCTGCTGGGGCACATCTTGCTCTCTAGCTTTCAGCGATGCTTCCGCCCATCTCTGGACACTGAAAGGTGTTGTACAAATGATCTAAAAAGCTGAGGATTGTAATGTGACATTATTTGAAGTTACCTACCAATGTCATAGGAGGAATTTCTTCATTTCTTCCCTTCCTTTTTCCCCCTCCCCCCCCCCCCTCCCTTTTTTTTTTATGTAGGCCAAACAGGAGTGACCAATCACCTTGAATTGTCCCCTTGTAGCCAACAGGATTATATGTATCATGTACAAGTCGATCTAAGAGCTTAATCCACTATAAAGGGCTACTTGCCAGGGAGCCCTGATAGTAAGTCTCTGTGAGAGAGGGAAGCATAACTCCATCCCAACTTCATCAATATTGGGTGGGTGCTTTTAATGTTTCAGGGTGATTTCTAGCAGCTGCTAGTAAAGTGAGGGTTAAGATTTTGGTGTAAATGTGCAACAGTAAAAATACCTGCAAATGATGGAAGAACACTTGAAGTCTCTCCAATGCTGTGTTCCAGCATTAGGCAGAGAGCCAAAACCCACAGCTTTTTAACAAAACAAACAAACAAAAGAAGCCCTTAGGCCATGCATTGAGGAAGTTTCTGCTTCTAACAAAGTAAAAACAAATTGTTTTTGGAAAGGTAGGATTTGTATAACCAATGGAATTAAAACACTGTAGTACCCGAGGGCAAGGGAATCCCTACGGGTTGTTTGCTTCAAGCCTTATTTACACTGGGATCTGTAAAACCATTCTTGACCTACAAAAAACATCAACCATAATAAGCTTTTATTTTAGGAAGGAGATTCAATAGCAGATTGTCTGCTTTGAAAACATTTTTAATATGGTGAGGGAAACATCAAACAAGATTACATCAAAAGGTGAAATAGAGCCCCCCTAAGGGGAAGAACTGTGTGCAATTCTGTACAACTTTCACATTAGAAATAAACAATCTAATATAACAGCTTTACATAGCAGGGTGAAAAATCAGACTTCTCTTTAAGAAGAATTGAGTCATTCTTGCTTTTCAGATATGGAAAATCGGTACATAACTTACCTTTGGTTCAGATTTACTCTTGTCCGCCACATACATTGCACTTTTGTGATTGCTGAAAATTCTGAGCAAGTTGACAATGAAAGAGAAAAGATGGCTCCCAAACTTCAAGTAGTCTACTTTTCCTCTCCTTTGTTTGCTATTTTTCTGTTGGCTTTTAGCATCCTGCTATTTCAACCTTATGCATCAGTACAGGCTGGGGGCTGACCTGCTGGAGAGTAGCTCTGCAGAGAAGGACCTGGGAGTTCTGGTGGACGATCAGCTGACCATGAGCCAGCATGTGTCCTCATGACCAAGAAGCCCAGTGGTATCCTGGGGTGCATTAAGAAGAGTGTTGCCAGCAGATTAAGAGCATGATCCTCCCCCTCTGCTGAGCCCTATTGAGGCCACATCTGGGGTGCTGTGTCCGGTTCTGGGCTCCCCAGTATGAGATGGACATGGAGCTACTGGGAAGAGTCCCACATTACTGCCAGATGCATTATTTCTGGTATCTCACAACAGAAGTAAATTCAGTAAAGCGAAATTTCAAAACCTTTGCTTGCCTTTTAAATAACGCAAACCAACACAAATCATACTTTCACAAGAAGTTCCTTCTCCACGTGAGGAAGAACTTCTTTACTGTGAGGGTGACAGAGCCCTGGAACAGGCTGCCCAGAGAGGCTGTGGAGTCTCCTTCTCTGGGGAGATTCCACGCCCACC